TTAATATTCATAGTGGATGCAAAACTAGTGCATCGTGAGATGACATCCATATCCTTGTCATTACCACAGTTTTTCTTACTGTCCCAACATCATATTTATGGATAACATTTTTTAAATTACGAACAAACATTGGCACCAAAATAACATGTGATTTTGAAGGGTCGGTGAGCCGGTACAGTACAAAGGTGAACTGTACTGATAAAAGTTAGTGGCAGTGACCAGGATCCGAACCCACGACACTACTGCCTTGGGCCCGAAGTCCGCGACGCTACCGACTGAGCCACCGACTCACCAATTGTATATGCCATATTAAAACCAAACAAACATTACAAATAATTAGACTTTGTTTCCCTTGTCCCTGAATCCGTCGCAGATTTGAAATTACTGTGCAGTACTACTGAATTAAGATGTATAAACTTGATCATAGTATGTTAAAACTGTGTTTGGTTCTGTTGGCAGCATACAAAGTCTGGCTGATTTCGAGCTTAATTATAATGAAAACTCCAAATGGGCAAATATTGCATTTGTTTCAAGCAGCGCTTGGAGAAATTGAAAGCTAAAAGTATTCAGATTGTTGCACAATAGCAACAATGAGGAAAGTCACGTGGAGGTATAAAAATGAAGGCATCGGAATTTTGCAATGAAATTTTACAATTTAAAAAGACAAATATGTAGCTTGCTAATAGTGATTACAAGTTTAAAGAAAATCATGATAATTTGATTAAAGATGTCCTCTTTATAAATAAATCGAGTTCCTTATCAATGTATAAAAGAATCAATAGTCAAATAATACTGGTCCTATCTAGGGTAAAGCTTTTTAAAATAATAATAAAGGGGGCCCATTTAAATATTGAACAAGACAATCTGTAAATTATCCAAAAACATTATCCAGTGAAAAACATTATATTACTTCACTTTATGAATGAGTAAATAAATTGAACTTGTTAATTGTACAATACTCAAACAATTTGTACCCTTGTAAAAATACGTAAAATAGTTTCCGTTACACTTATCGAACAACCCTTACTGTGAATTTGCAATTTATACTCATTTATTAGAAATATTTCATCGCAGTCTACTGTTTAATGTTTAGATTTAGCTTTATTTGGTTGTCATTTCACAAAAAGAGTTTTGAATTGTATAGCAACTGTATCACCTTTATTGTAAGGGGGTTTACAACTGGAAATAGTAAATTTGCTAATATGCATTTATAGTTCATGTTCTTTAGTAAAACCGATTAAAACTATGAAAAGTGCATTACATCATTTATCAATTATGGGAATAAATAAAAAGGTGTAACTGAATATTTATATAACTTAAGCCCCTCTTAGTCAACACTCATAAATTATGCAATTTTATTGTCCATACGCTGATCTAAACAATTATGCAGTGTTATACAGGGTGAGTTTTAAATTAGTTCCCCCCTTCATTTTTTCTACATTTCTTAAGATATCAACTCCGGACCACGTCAGATCATTGTAGAGTAGTAAGTACTTCATTTTGACTGGGTATAAATTTTTGGCCGCCATCTTGGATCCGCCATATTGCATACAAAGCTTTTATTCAAATGTAAAGGTAGGGTTGTGACCCATCGTTTTAAACTACTTTTTTATGCTAAATACGATGCTGCAATTCGTTTTAAAAAATCTTGACCCTTTCTGAAGTTATGAGAACTTTTTATAACATTATTCTTAGCCCATTTTAACATTGTGCATTTAGAAACTAAGAACATAATCGCAAAATAGTGCTAGATAAAGATAAGTATACACCACATAATATACATAAATCTTTATCTAGCACTATTTTGCGATCATGTTCTCAGTTTCTAAATGCACAATGTTAAAATGGGCTAAAAATAATGTTATAAAACGTTCTCCTAACTTTGGAATGGGTCAAGATTTTTTAAAACGGATTGCAGCATCGTATTCAGCATAAAAAAGTAAATTAAAACGATGGGTCACAACCCTACCTTTACATTTGAAAAAAAAAAATTGTATCCAATATGGCGGATCCAAGATGGCGGCCAAAAATTTATACCCAGTCAAAATGAAGTACTTACTACTCTACAATGATCTGACGTGGTCCAGAGTTGATATCTTAAGAAATGTAGAAAAAAGTAGGGGGGGAACTCATTTAAAACTCACCCTGTATATTTATCTTCACTTAGAAATCAGCTACGAGCAAGAAATCATTTTAATTATAATTTAACCATAATTTCATTTTCAAATTTCTTTCCCGAAAGTTTTTATTACTTTATTCACATAACTTGACAATACTATAGACATAGTTACACCTTAAGCCTAAGGAATACTACTAAAAAATATACAGTAAAAATCTCAAACCTATATCTTTAACAGTTGCTGAGACATATTACTTTACTCTGTGTTGTATAGTGTGTTGAATCAAACCTAGAGGCTGCGCAACTTCATTCACTATTGATTTTTTTTTACTGAATATAGTTTCAAATTATAAAGTTGTATATATTTTCATGAATAATACATTATACAAAGAAATACACAATACAACGAAAAAAATTATATCAGTAAGAGTGTTATTAGTTAGTTAATTTACTCAAAATAATGTGAAATGTGCGTATGAGCAAAGTACTAAAACTGATCAAATACTGAACTTTAAAGCTGTTTGACGTAGCTAATGCAATGTATTGTCAACTTAGCTCAATAAACTTATTTGATTTGATTTGAAAGTAAGGGTGCATATAGTTTTTGTTTCGGAATTAGTTGTTAATCTTGAATTATATCTTGTATTGCTATTGGCTACTTTCTTCCTTGCACGTGTCCTATACATAGTCTCATCTTTACACATTTGACCCTATGGTAGATTGGTTACAAAATTGAATACATATTAAGTTAATTGTTAATTTTATTCGCTCACAATGGCTTAGAATATTTTGAGTAATTCCTCTTTAAAATATATAAAAACGGGAAAAATCTTCCAATTTGTTATTATTAGCTAACATTGATACATTGATCCAATAAGATTCAACGTAAATAGCTTACTTCCCTATAAAATGAAATTGTGTTGGTTACTGACGTACTTATTCCTACTGTATTATATAAAACAAAATTTCCCACCCCCTTGTAAAGCTAGGCTAGGTTTAAGTTGTGAGAAAATTTGTGGGAGTGTATAATTTATTGAGGGATCATGCCTTGATCTATAAATAAATTGAAAAAGACGTTGGGGCGGTGGGTCGGACTCCGCCTCCAACCCCCTCCCCCTGACGGCTCACTACCCTCTACAGTCAGTATCGCCGTGCCGCGCCTCAGTCTAGGACATTCTGTGTCGCTTCTGTCCTTATATTACGTAACTCTAGCTAACCTCGTACCAATTAAATATATATTTTCACACTGTAAGTTTCCTATTAATAGAAAACCTAATATTAAAAACTATCAATCAAAAGCCCCGATTTTTTCCTTATTTGTCGAATTAGTTTTAGATCTATGCAACTGAAACGTTATGGAAATTTGATGTGATGATTAATGTTTATGTAGCAGTTCAAACCTACATAATACATATACCTACATAATATATTCATATGTAATTTAATTAAAATATTATTTTCTACTTTATAAATGTATTAATTTTGTTACTGGAAGTGTCATATAATTACTTCAAGCAACATTACATTTTTCAAATTGTAAGAAATTGCATTTTGGACGGAAAAGGATCCGCAGTTTATGATGCATTTGAATTATTATGCATTATAATTTTATGTTTGCATAAGATCTAATTAACAAAATCTTTAAACCTTCTAATGCCTTATTAAAATAATTTTATTTATAAATACCTCATAATAAACTTTATGGAAAGTATTCTTTTCTTATAGTATCCATAAAGTACCATTTTGTTATTAAAATAAAATATTCTTTAAACTTTTATGTGACTGATATTACTAATTTCAAAATACTACTAAGCTAATTTTACTAATTAATAATATTTATACAGTAAAATAATTTATAATAATAATAAAATTAATAATATTATGTACTAATTACTAAGTCGGCATAGTATTATATTTTAAAATGTAACACTGTCCAAGAAAACATATTACATTTATATTTTGTGTGTAGGTTTTAGAACTGTACATGTCCGTATAACTACACAAAAAAATCCCACATCGATTTGGATTTAGGGACTATTTAGTTATTATTTTACAATCAGACTAAAAATTATGTAGGATCAATCACATATTCTTTTATATAGTGAAGCTGCTATACAGTCAATCAACATTTAAGACTTAACCCTTTTAATTGTTATGTTATTTTAGGTAAATATAACTAAAAAAGCTGTTGATTGGTTATCCTAAACAGTCTTTCTATTTTTGATTATATAAAATAGATGAAGTTCATCATATTTTTATAAAACGGTTAATTATTATTTTTCTGATTTATCAAAGAGAAGATTTAGTAAAAATAGCCATAAAAGCTACATATATACCTCTTTAACGGAAATTGTAAATTTGTGTACGGATAAATAAGTAAATAATTTAATGTTTAAGTTTGTTTTAGATCTAATTAATAATAAATGCTGCCTAATGAGCCCAATAGTGATTATAGCTCAAACTCCAACATATTCGAAAGCAGACCTTGTAAAAACACTGGAATAAAAAAATAACATAATCCGACACAGAAATCTGTAAATGATCGTTGTATGTGTCCAACAACCTTTTTAACACCAATTGTGCGGAGCGCTCATATTTTCACATTTTTTCAGTTGGCAAATGAACTAGATTCATACTGAACAGTTCAATTTTGTATTTGATTTCAAAAACTGAGGGATCCGGTACATAATTTCCTATTCAATGTATTACAAAGAATATTTTTGAAACTGAAGCTAAAAAATCGTATAACACTTCAAGCAACATATCTCCAAAGAATAAATTCAAGAAACAGTAATTTAAATTATTTTCTTTCCAGATTGAGCTACATAAAACATTGCTTGCTGTTCAGTTACAAATAAATTATAGAATTTTAGGATGAACGATCCTGGTGCAAAAACTCATGACCTGACCTGGACCTTAGTGGACCAGGATATATTTGGATGGAGGAAGACATGTTTGTATGTAGTACTTGTAGTGTTGTTGTCTGTGGTCACAATAAACCTAACCCTTGTATGCTGGTTGGTCACCATTCTAAACATCAATACGGTAAGTTTAAACATGCAGAAGTGAAATACATGTTGTATTAAAAATAGATTTTTAAACTGAGTGCCAGCAAAAGTAGACCCTTTCTGTCAGAATTAAAAAGTTAAATTGTAAAGGAAATGCTGGAAATTGTTGAATAGCCTCCATTTGTAAACATATTAAAACACGTTGGAAAAACATTTAAAGATTCGTGCAGTTAAAGCTTAGGATAAATTATGTTTTAATATCCATATAAATGTTTTGGTATTACTGTACAAAAGTAAAAGCACACCTAGGTTCATTGGAGTATTTATGAAAACTCAACTATCATGATTGTAAAACAACGTAATTGCCAATTATTATTTAAATTTAATTGTAATAATAAACTTATACAGGGTCTCTCTAACAAACTTTAAGCTTCAACCCTATAGGTATATTTTTACCGTCGGGAAAAGCAGGGTTACATTTCTGTTAGCAATATAAAAGAAACTGACTGTTCAAAGGATAAAAGGCGATTTAAGGTATACATATATTATACGTATATTTTATATACGGATATTATACGTATATAGTATTATGTATTTATATTTGTATATTTTATACATATATTATACATAAATCATACCTATGTATATTATACATACATTATACTGTACCTACTGTACATAGATTAAGTATGGAAATTCATTGTGAGATTGGGGTTAGTAGCTAAATAATTAAAACTGATTACATAGATACCTATGGAATACTGTCAAATTAATTGGCTGATTTAAGAAAGTTGTTGGTTTATTTACTACTAAGCTAATGTCATCAATCCCAGTAATTTTGACATGAATACTCTATTACATTATGAGAAATTTTAATGCACTGGTATAATATTCTCAACAAATAAAATGATTTAGTTTTATTTGTAAAACCAAGTAGATTTATAAAAATCTAATATGACAGTGTTTAACAATTGGGTTAATGATTATTTGGTTAAATTTACATACACTATATGGTCAGCTTGTTATTTTTTAAAAGGAAACAAGCAATGATTTATCTTAAACATATAAATAAAGCTGTATGAACAAAACGTATCCTTACAAACTCTAATATACGTCCGAGTGTTTCAAGTTTTACTTACATTTGATTTTTTATTGTACTTAGTTTTCTAAGATTTTATGTATCATTACCATTAAATTGGTGACTATAGTCTTGTATTATCTTTGGCTGTAATAATAAAAAAATTCACATTTAATTAATATCAAATGGCACATTTCACTATTGTATTTCACAGTATGACATGATTTATGTTCATTTTGATTGGTGTGGTTAAATTGACTTTATTTTTAAGATGACAATTGATTTGGTTGGATACAAATAATTTTTACTCGCATAGTTGTTTTGATGGTTGTATATGCATATATTTTAGAACGGTATGAACTACATGCAGTCGTTCGGAGGAGGTGTTCAGTTCACAGCAAAGACCTACGTAGAAGATCTGTTGATCACCTCTGGGCTCAAAACTAGGGAAGGTCAACCGATGACTGTGAGAAGTGTCAAAAATCTTACACTGAGAACTACTGATAGACTTGGTTTCTCTACCTCCAGCATAAAATTGGGTTGGTATAGTTATAAAACTGAACCTCGAATCTCTTAGGTTTAAATATGTTAGAAGGAAAAGTTTTAGTACGCATTAATAAGTGTTAAAACCTTTCAAAATTCATGATGAGTAACTCTTAATATTCTTTAATCATGGAAAAGAGCATTTTGACCACAATTATGTTACTGAGAAAATTTTTTAATTTGTAGTTGTCTGAAGTTATATCCTTGAAAGATACTTCAATAAGGCCTAGTTTCAATATATTAATTTAAATGCTATGTAAACAAATAGGTAAACTTAATTATTCGATTAAATCGATAGTATACGTTTGGTCGAGTTGAAAGAATTAACTCAGCATAGTTATTTTTTTACCACACTGATTGAAAAATAATTTATGTTCGTAATCCCAAATAAGAACAAAAGACAATAATACATATATATATATATATTCAGTCATCGGCGAGTTAGTGCGAAGTATTTGGCTTATACTAATAGATTAACTTATAGATGAGCTTGATAGATATAAACGGTGTTTACCCAGTCTATGTTTAATCATGATCATGTGACGACACTGGAGAAAATGTGTTTTTTGTAATGAGCTATACTAGTTGAATATATTATGTATCCAAACTCACTACTCTTTTTGAAAATCACTTATATGCAAGTATCTATTACCAGAGTCTTTGTGGTAATCCATGGGTTGTTATTTTAACCTAAGGTGTAACATTTATGGTATAATGTTGCTATTTAACTCTCCTCTTTTAAAGTACCCAAAAACAGAAAACACAGGTCATAGTCCTAAAATAAGGACTTTTCTCCTGTCTTCTAACAAAATAATTGCTTTGGATGGACCGTTTGTGGTTCTAAGGAAATACTACAGAATTATGACTTGGATCTGTTCTTAATCAAATCTAACAAAGCTTTCTATTTAAATTTGCCAGATTTGAAGTTTACTATAAGTATGCGGTAACTAGTTGAAATAGGTTCCATTAACTCCTAAGTTACTTGTTTTTAACTCTTCGAAAGTAAAAAGGCTAACTTTTAAAACCTTTTTTACTCTCGTACTATAAGCCTGTTATATACTTTATAAGCCGTCAACCGTATGCATCATACAAACAAAGTAATATCCTTGTCCTTATTTGTCAAGGTGGAAGTGTCCTGGACATCAACTCTCACAACTTCACAGTGTCTGATCCTCGAGGCAAGACATTGTTCAACGTTAACCCAGACTCCGTGTCGCTCTTCACACATTTACTCTCCATCTCAGGTAAACCACTGATTGCTGTAAAACTAAAGACTTCCAGTTCATTTTTGTAGCATTGTTTTTGCCTGAAAGCTGAAAGCCATGAGTAGGTTAATCATTTCATGGTTTCTTGACTATCGTGAAATAAAAGGAAACTATTGATACTGTTATTTACTATCGATTCTACTCTTAGAATAAAAGTTGAAATTGTGACGGTCTGGAATACTTTTTCAAATTGCTACTAATTTTTATTTTTACATCGGTTCATTGACCATACTCCCTAAACATTCCCTTGGGGTGGACACAAGATGCATATAGCAAAACTTGTCCAGCAGTAACATATTTGACTTAACTTAATACAGGGTGGATGTAATGGAAAGTAACCTGTACCCCTCTTTTAACCTTTTGATTATTTGAGATATTTGAAATCTTTTTGTGGCAACCTTCTTAGTTAGGGGTTACAAAAATTAGGTTAATTTTACAAATTTTACCCTTAGTGGGGGGTAGGGGGTGGCTCAAAATTTTCAAATGGGAAGTATAGTCAACTTTTATATAATTTTACAGGTCTTGAAGACACTAAACAATTGACATAATCAAAAAGAAATTCGGACCAATAAAAAAATGGCAATGATAAAAACCCCACCCTCTTAAAACGGACAGATATTACTGATAACAGCAATTATAGCCCCAGATACTCAGGTGGTACAGGCATAGCATCACCCTCAAAGATGTTATTAGCAACTATCTGAACTAGAATAAATGTTGCCTTGATAATAATAAAAGTTTATCAAACAATATTTATCTTATTAAGTATCACAATACAATGCTAAGGCATGTTATTAAAAGTAATTTTTAGTTTCGATTTTGTTATCAGTGGTTTGATTTTTCTTTTCTTTTATTTCAATTGTTTTGTTTCAACAAGACCTGCAAAAGGGTTTGAAAGTCAGCTGTACTTCATATTTGAAAATATCGAGGTTCCCCCTTACCCCCACTACCACTAAGAGTAAACTTTTTTAAAACTAATCATTATTAATGTAGCCCCTCATAACTAAGAAGGTTGCCGCAAACCGATTTCAAATATCTTAAATAGTTAAAAAGTTAGAGGGGGTGAAAGTTACTTTCCAGCCACCCTGCGTAAATCTTTAAGTGATTTCTAACACCCATATTCCAGTCTTATTCCATTCATAATCCTACAATAATTCTAAACAGACGTCGTGGCCCGGCCGGGTATGTCATGGAATGTGCAGACGTTGCTTTGCACGTGGCGAGCGACTGCAGTTGGCTTGTTATTCACCAACCTTAGTTTTGTTTACGCCCAAAGTAATCGTTTGGCTGCAGCACCTGTCAATACTTCAATATGTCAGTCATAATCATATATCCTTTATTCAAAAGTCAATGTTCTACATGAATGCCACGATGCAATTAAATGAAATTTAAATACTTACAATATCTTAAATAAAAAATAAAAAAATGTTAACCTAAAGATTTACATTAAATCAACAAATACATCCAGAGAATAGAGGTGCTTGGATAGCATACAGGTTTTTAATTTATTTTAAAATTTACTTTTATCGCTTCTAAAAGAGTATCAGGTAGACAGTTAGAAAACTTAATTCCTGCATATGATGGATTTTTACAAATAATTTTTAAGTTATGATTTGAAAAACTGATTTTATGTCTGTGTCTTGTCCTATAGCTGTGACATGAACTTAAGGTCTCGAATTTTGTTAGGTTAATTCTTAAAAACAAGATTAGACAAAAATACATTGAGCAAAAGCAGTAAGAATACCCGGAAGCCTTGAAATTGTTCTTTAACTGTAACTATCAAATCGTGAATGTCTAACATAAGGCGTAGGCCTAGTGCTGGTGCTTAAATAATTATATTTGTTAAAAATGTTTACGACGAGCTGCTTCTTACAAATGAGATGTAGGATTGAATAAAAGCAATTTAAATGTTTTTAATATTCTCAAAGGACATAATTTTGACAGTATGCTTGACATTGCTCTTCTACTTCTAGAGCAAACATCTCTGATGAAACTTCATGGCCAGGATGTTCATTATGGCGATAACTATTAAAGTTTTTGTCCAATGTATGGCCTAGGAGTTAATAGTAGTTTACGCAACGATTGCGTTAAGTGAGTCTTTACGACACGAGTAGAAAATTTAAGGCACGAGCCTTGGCGAGTGCCTTAAAAACTTCTACGAGTGTCGTAAAGACTATTAACGCGAGTTGCGTACACTACTTTACCTACGACCGTTTTTTAATTACTATCAATCTGGATTTAATTACTAACAATCACTACTGATAAATTTTTAGAGAGGTTATGTTTTCGTGTATTGTCATTGCCACTGAAAGTGATGCAACGACTTGTTGTATAATCAGCTGATTTCCTGTAATTACGTGTTTGTTAAACTTCGTTAAATATTACATTGCTAGCAGCATTCTTACCATAAATAATATTGTATCAGGTACAATTCGGCAAATATTTCATTTATTTTTGGACTTCCACCAACTTAATTAAGAATACGCGAGTATTAACAATTATATTGGTCAACTGATCAGCTGATCAGCTGATTAGTTGACGTTTGAAGCATTACAATTTTAATTCTTTTCTCTCAATACTTGAACCTCATTGGTCCGTTACCTGTGTGGATATGAGAAAACTATGCGGATATGAAATGAAACTATGCGGATATGAAAGTAAACAGCTGTAAAGTGAAACTTTTCAATTCTAAGAACTGGACTGAAATGGCTACTTTAAAAAACGGTCGTAGGTAAAAATGTTTACTTCTAGAGATTTTTCTTCCACCAAAATTCTGTGTTGAACCTGTTCATTGCTCTGGCATGTGGTTAACTATACGTGTTTTGTCTGATTTATATCTACTAAAAGGTTTTAACTGTTAAAAGTCTATTAACAAAATCATGGTTATTTCTATTGTGGGTTAGTGCTATTGGCTCTATTTTGGGGGGTGTTACCAGATACAAGCAAGCTAATGTCATCAACATAGACAGACGCATCATTTAAGAAACCCGGTAAACCCTTTGTAGAACATATTAAAATAGTGGTCCTAGGATTTATCTTTGTGGCACTCCATAGTTTAAATTTTTGCACCGATGAAGTAAAATTTACTTTATTGTTTTTGTTACATTAAAATATTCATTAAATACACGCTTTTTGATTGGTCCCTGATGGTCTCGTGGCTATTAAGCACGATGACCCTTAGAATCCACGCAGACCTCAATTGAAAAACACATGCGTAGGTCCGTGCCGCAGCTCCATTCCTTTTTCCTTACTCTGAAAGCCTAATTTAAAGTCTACTATAAATTAAAATTTAATTTGCAGCCCAAGTAATTGTCAAAGTCTAATCGTATTGATCTTTTATTTTTTCATAGTAAAGTGCTAATTATTAATTCGTTTTCAGAGATGCCTTTTATTAAATTTAATAAATGAATACGATCCCACTTGGTGAGTTTATTTATCTTACCGCTTTCGTTGGCTACAAAATAAATTTAAAATGTCACATCATGTTCTAGCTTAAATAAATTAAATGATGATTTTAGGAGAAGGCGGAGCTGTATTAGAAGGCAGTTTGCAGACTCCGGTCGTTAGTGCAGATGTTCGGTCGAATCTTGTGTAAGTCAATCTAGTTTACTGCACTGGTAAGACTTTTACCGTCTAGTGACTATTAATTGATGGTTTTACTACTCAAATGGTGTAAGCAGGTTTGGAAAATCACAAAAACCTTTTAGTCTCAATATAAAGCTTGTGTAGGAAAATGTTCTTATAAGAATTCAAAACTAAATTTTGTGTTAGAATATTGTTTAAATGTTTCATTGCTACCTTTATTAGAAACTACAGATAGTTATTTCTTATATAGTGAACTAGTAGAGTACCGTTCCTTCGTAGGTGTTGGCATATAAGTATCAAATGCTTATTGCAGTTATACTCGTGATTTGTGTTTGAAATGGGAGAGGGTACGGTTTGAGAAAATTTCGTTATTTTAATTTACGGTATGCTATAGTATAACACATCCACCATAGCAATAATAATGTTCTACCACTGCACCTAAACAATAGAAAAGAGTAAACTACCAAATATTAGCACAATATCACAAATTTATTATTAATAAGAAACATAAGCATACCTAACTGTAAATAATCCTACTTGGACAGTTCCCATTGTGGATTACAGCTTTTTGTTGCTGCTTGGTTCAAATTAGCTGTTGTCATAAATACAAAAAATAAATGCTGCACCCTGTTGGTAAACCCTACAAAATTTTAGTGCTTAATGTTCTATGGATATCTTTGAGATAAGAGTATGTCTATATGTTAATCAGGAACGTAAGCTTTCATATTACCAAATTTAAGCTCAATCTGACGAGTAGTTAATGTGTGATTGAACTTCAAACAAACAAACAAACACACAAACCTTCAAATTTATAATATTAGTATGATGAAATAATAGATAATTTACTATAAATGTAATATAACTGAATATTTAATATTATAACTGTTTCAGAAGGCAACTTCAAATCAAAATATAACCATACCAAGTTACCCTCGAACTTATGGGATGAGTAGCCTTTTTTTGCAATAGAGTGTCCTTGATTCTAGATGTATACTATACTATGATGTTGAATAACTTTTCTTGGTACTTTCCTGTTAAAGGGAACATTCATTATTATCGATGATTTTTTTCTCGATATATCGATGTTTTTGTTTTCTGATCCATTACAAATTGACAGCAAGAAATGAAACTGTTCTAAGCTAACCTAAAATAACCAACCATACTTGCTGTACCATTTAAAAATTCCCTTTGGGTTTTGAATATAAAAGGCAAGTTTTAAACGCGGGATTTTTAAATGTTACAGCAAGTTTGGTTAGTTATGTTAGGTTATTTATTTTAGAACAGTTTCATTTCATTAATGTTTGTTGATACTGAACAATATTTTTCGTCATTGTCAGCTGATATGTTTCAATTTGTTAATATCGATATATCGAGAAAAAAATCATCAATAATAATGAATGTTCCCTTTAACAGGAAAGTACCCTATTCTTCAATGAATATATTTCTCCTACAGTCACCCGACAAAGTGGGCTTCCTTGCACAGATTTATAGTACATAAAACCTTACTTTGGTGCACAGTTTTTACTTTCTCGCACACGAGTATTCCAACCAAACAACAGAAAACAGCGTGCTTTTATTATGCACGTGATCCGTATACGCTTGAAATAAGTTGGCAACACTTAAAGATATTATGACTACGATCAGCTGGTGCAGCGTTTCCCATTTCGTTGAATGTTTGCATTTAACCTAACTAATTACTTATATGATTTATAGTAACTGTATGAAAAATATAATGTGTAACACGAGTGCAAACTGCCTTTGCTGCACTCGATAAACTTTCGACACTCGCCTACGGCTCGTGCGTAAACATTTCTCTCGTGTGCAGCAAAGTGTCACTTTGCCCACTAGCTACACAAATACCTATTCTTGTGACCGTAACTGGATGCTTTATATTGTAGGCTGGAGTCGATTATGAAGGACTTACATGTCGTAGCACCTGCAGGCATCTCTATAGAGAGCAGGGCTGGGGACATACAATTATCCAGCCACCGAGATATAACTCTTCAGACGGTGGATGGAGCAGTAAGTACTTTGATACATTTAGTAATCAGTGCTTATACTTTCGAGGAACGTTTTAAGGTGTACTGGTGCATACAGTGCATATACCTTTTTTAATTTCATGTACTGAAAGTGGCATTTCCGATGCTCGTTCAAGAATCATGTAAGAAAGAGAGTGAAATAGTTGTAGCAAGTGCCGGTAAAGCACTTTTAGTACAAACTATTTCCAACATCACACAATTGATCGGTTAACATTTATGTTGTTAGATTGTTAACTATAAAAGAAGCTGAATTCAATTGCAAAAGTACGTTGCAGAAAATGTATTTAGCTCCCTGTCCCAATAGAAAATGTATTAAAAGAAAGGAATATCAGGCGATTCTTTTTCCTTGGGCCATGTTTTTGCCTGGATTTTGTTGAAGTATAAACTAAAAGAATAATCCCAGTTTGACAGAGCTGTTATTTTCTGCTGTTATTTATAAATTAGTAGTCATAGTCTTCAGAAATCTTCATATTGTTTTGATACGAAACAATTCATATAGCTTTATATCCTTTCCAGATAAAGCTAGAGTCATCCAACGTGCTGCTCCCTGGACTACATAGACATCATCACAAACACTCACATCGCGGTGACAAGATCTACCAGCTGTGTGTCTGTGAGAATGGTCAGCTGTTTTTGGGAGAAGCTGACGCCTTTTGCAACACAGAAGGAGCGAATCTCGAGTGGTGTTGATGGCAATGCAAGCAGTCCTGTCTTAGAATCAGCTGTTCCTACCGTAGCCTCGTGTCTTCTGTGTGTTGAAACACCAATCTTGAGCTGTGAAAAAGAAATACAAGATCAACTAGTTCATATTGAATGATTCGCAATTCCCTGTTACAGGTTGTCGTTGTCTTAGACAGTGATATGAGACAACCCTTCTTCACTGCCAAATTACTTATGGTTTAAGAAATATATCATTAGTCCTTGTTGATGGGTCTTTGAGCGAGTTTCCCCGTTTAAGGAATAATCTATTATCGTAGGTCTCATGGTAGGACCTAAACTCGAGACAAATTTACTTTTTTTGTTTTGATACCCCAGATTCCAAAAACACAATTCGTTTAAATTATAAACATATGTATCCGTTATAGCACGATGACCCAAATAAAACGATTAGATATTGATAAAATTTGACATAAACATGTAAACCTACGTTTATTCGAACGGTTTCGTAAACCAACATAGCCGGACTATGGAAGGGAGATTTATGGGGAGTTACATGGGGTAAAAAGTGGGTTTTAATTATGTTGACCCTTGACACATAACATTTTGAAGTTCCTACCCAAACCATTTCACATACCTTGAAAAACAAAGTTTATTGAAGCGTTATTCTACGTTTAATAGTTAGGCTTATTAAACAAATTCCCTAAACACTGTAATTTAAAATTATTATGTTATACTTATGGAGAATAATCTAACTGTTATAGTTCGCTTTTCTATAGATATATTTTGGTCAAATATAGCAAATATATTTAATTCATAACCAACTATCAACATTTGACAAACAACACACCTTACAACCTTCCTTGCTGCAGCAAACCTTAGTACCCATTTACCCTAATGTTATTAAAATAGAGAAGGAAACTGCTATGTTCAAGAAAAATAGTTAGTGAAAATCCAGTCAGAAATTTAATTAAATTAGTTTGGTTTACAAAAATTACAAAAAAGGTAAATTTTGCAAATAGGTTTATACAGACTTCAAATTGTATTAGTATCCTCAACGTAAAAAAACTACATTTACCTTGTTTGACATAGCTATAAGCTAAACTAACCTAATGTAACGTAACCTGACCACAGCATCGCTCTGTAAAAGAGTCCTCCTTTAAAAGACCCATCAATTTGATCAATATACCATAAAATGCCAAGTCTCTATAAACTGATAAATACAATGTGATAAAATATACTAGGGCAAGGTAAGTCGAACCTGGTTCACATATATTATAACAAGTTTGTCACCCTATGTGAGGGTAACACATTTGAGCCGATAAATGATCACGGATATGATCAAAATTGTATGTAATACAAATCATTGTATGTTGTGTTTTTAATCAGTGATTTACCTATGTCGCAATATGTTGGGTCCTATTGAACCCTGGTGATTACTTTTGACTGATTATTTAACTTTAGAAATATAAATGCTTTTCTTTAAAAAGAATGCCAAACTATTTAAGTCAAAAGTGTTTCCGTTTAGACGCTTTTATTATTTCATTGAAATAGTTCTTCTGTTATAAATGTGTATGCTATTTAACGAATTTAATTTAAAATATTTAATTTAAGTTAAATTGTATTATCTCTGTTGAAATTGTTAACCAAATATAGTAAAATATTTAATATATTTATTGACAGTTGTTTTATTTTCAATACATACATCTGACGAGTAGTTGTAATTTTGCGCACGTCAGAAGAAGGACCAGACTTGTGTATTGGGACAATGTAACTCGTTTTATGGACTTCTGGAGATATCCCACAGTTCACCGACTCATTGAAAGGTTCTGAAGAGGACTAGCCAGGAGATGTCCGCAGCCCTTGAGAACAGCCAGAGGAATACAGTCTGGACCATGTCCCTTGTGGCCATCAAGGCTGGCAAGGGCCCTTTCAACTTCGTCGTAGGTGAAAAAAACATTTGAATAAACATATGGAAGTGTTGTGAAGGTTCTGGTAGGGCAGGTCCATTGGGGGCTCAAACCCCGAAGCAAATAAATCCGCAAATGCCTCACATTTGACCTTTTCATTAACCAGAAGTACGCAGTCTGGGCCAAGCAGCGTAGAAGGGCCGGAGCAGGAACCACATCTAGTTGAGGAAACAAAGCTCAGAAATATCTTCGGGTTGCTTGGAAGAACTTGTTGAATGTGCTCAACATAGTTGTTAAAGCATGTGGTTGACAATGTTTTGATAAAAATTGCAGGTATGTTTCATGATACAGCGTCCTTTTGTAGAGGGTATGCAACATATTTTTCCTCGTGATGAGAGCCTTCAACTCCGGGCTGAACCAGGCAGGATATGCCTCTTGATGAGAGCCTTTTGGCATCAGGTAAATTAAAATCGCCAGCGATGAGAATATTCCTGTAGGAATGGGTTGATGTAGCTTCCTCAACAGCTAGGTTGACATTTTCATATACTTCAGAACTGGAGCTGGGAGGGATATATGCACACCCAACAAGAAGTCTGTAGCCAGTCTTGACACTACAGGAAATGAATAGGCATTCAATACTATTAACAGATGTCGGAACAAGATGAGGACTTTGGGAGTTGCTGATAGCAACCACAACACCATTTCCTCTGGACTTTGAACTGGATATCAGAGAATGATCACTCCTAAATATGTTGAAGCTATCCGCACCAAGTTCAGAACTGCTTATATCAGCATTAAGGTTAGTTTCTAAGAACATGACTATGTCGTAGGTACAAGTCGAGAATGCAATTTGGATATCCTTAAGCTTACTCCTAATTCCATTACATTTTTATAAAAGATATATACACTGGATTTTACTCAAAATTCTTTTTCTCAGACACGATTTGTGGCACTCCGTTTAAATATTTAATTGTGAGGTTTACTTCTCCCCCACTGATTCTAGCAACAAGGGAGCTACGAAGAGCAGCCAGATGCTCACGTTCTTTGGTTGTGCGGTCCCTAGAGATGGATATGTTGGACAGATGAGGATGGGATTTGGCTACCATGTCCGTAGAGAAGAGTTTAATAAAAGAGAGAACTTAGAGAGATTCTCAATGCTGGTGGAAAGTTTAGTTATATTATATTATATTATTTCTTCTTTCGTAGCAAGATTGGCAACATTCTCTAGGAGTTTACCAAGTTTGTTACCCAAGTTTGTTACATTGAGTGGATTGTCATCATATTTCACACAATCATTCCGAGCCATTTTTTATTTCTATCATTTGCGTAGGAAGCATATTCCATAGCAGATAAATTGAGCCAGTCCTTATGAAACCACTGTTTACACGGCCATTATCAACATTATCACACTGGAGGCTTTTTGTTTTCCCCACACCAATGACACAAACAAGGCACACAACATTCGGTGTGTTAAAATATGCTATAACTGTTACAAACACTATATTTCATATAGTGATCCAGCAATAATTCGGTCTGAGTCCGCAGGCCTTTGGAGTCGACGGTGTCAAGAAGGCCGTGATCGAACTTGATGATTTTATCACTAAAATGTTATTTTATTGGCGTCTTTGAAATATAATCGTTACTTTAATCCACGTGAAATAAAAACTCGGGTTAAGTGACGAGGCACACATGCGGTCAGTGTTTGTGTGACTGATATGGTATATACAATTTTTACAACGAAAAAAGGTAAAGGGGTGTGAAATACTAGTACAGAAGATTTGACAAATATACATACTTACGAGTTATAAAATAATTCCCTTATACCTCTCCCCACCAAAAGTGTGCTTGATCAATAATCATTGTTTTAATCTACGCCAGTGGTATTTTAATCAGTAAACTTAAACACTTTTAAAAGGAAAGCAGTCCCAAACCCCATTTAAGTTTTGTGGTTGTGACGGGAATCGAACCCGTGCCCCTTGTGAAGTGGTGCCCCTTGTTTTACATGGACAGTAAAATTCCTCCTCATCTGTAACAAGAAACACAAATCGTGTCTAGACATCCCTACGAATTCAACATGGTTGTCAACGTATCACTAACTGTGCCTGAAACAGACTCCCTGGTTTTCCATTTATAATTCAAAACAAGTCGTAAACTTTGGGTTAAGTGAGGAATTACGACCGCTCCCTAACAACTAGCTCCTACTTACCACCTCGGCACTTAACGAAAATTTACAAACTCCTCTCCCCACAATCGCAACCAAACTGTTACAGTTTCCTATTACTTAAGTCTATGAAATATCACTACTAATAGGGGTGCGGCTTGATTAGTAATTAAAACACAAGCAAATAAGTACAGAATTAGGTTTTTCAACACAAAGTAGTTCAAACAACTTACAAGACCTATCCTGCATGTCAGGGTTGAGACACCGAAAATTACTAAAGGCTTTCAAATTATTTGATACTTCTTGAGCTAGTGTTTTGAACCCACCTATAATGAAACAAGTCCTTCAGGTGAGGAGAACCTTTTTTTGCTGTTGAGAACTTTTCCCACCAAAAGCCATATGTGATCCTCAATAATAAACCACTTTCACTTATATATCTAACAGATTGACGTAAAAAGTGACTACAAGCCCCTTTGAACCTTTGAATTGATCATAGCTTTTTATTTACCTCTTATTTATATTTTCCAAAATCGTACTTGCATCAACATAAAACACAAGTCTTACAAACTTCAAACCTGTTCACAAGGCTGGACTTTACCTTCATACAAAGGACACAGCTAGTCTAAAAAATGGCACAGAACTTAATAATTCTCCGCTTGGTAAGAGACAATCTTAAGATATTGTATGTCCATCTATCAAGAAAAAAAAGGACATGCCCCATACAAGGAGATCCATCTATCTCCGTACTAAAGACTACGGAAAGTCATAACAAATATTTTTCTCATTGTAGTATTATCAGTCAATGTTGAATTGAAAGTGATGTATATACGGGAAAATGTGTGTACACGTGATTGACCGCTTATACTAGACCAATCATTATTCCTACATTACTTACGATAGTTAAATACATATTAAAACAAAGAAAGTATCACGTGTTTCAATAAAAAAATGTGTTATGCTTTTAAGCTATCTTGAAATATTGTAAATGAAGTATATACCTAGTGGAAGTCCTAAGTAGTAAAGTATTAGGATACATTATTTATTGTTGGAGAACTTTATTAAAGATCTGTTAAGTGCATGCTAAAATAGAAAGAGCTTTAGACATATTAGCCACATGCTCTAGGTGTG